TTCATAGAATAATACACGATGTTCTACCATTGATTGATGGCAAGTCATCCACTTAGAAGCTCACTTTTGCTTCTGGGTAAGACTTCTCACCAGCAACCAGGAAACTTCTAGCATACAATGTGTAAAAGCTATACACACATATATCAATGTTTCAACACGAAACTAGGGGTCCCTTTGTTTTACTCATCCCCCTCTTTTTCTTCTCCTTTGAGTGCAACTCTCTCTCATCCTATATAAACTTTGAGATATCGTTTTTCATGGCTATTTTCCCCATTCTGCCATCCCCAGGCACCCACCTCTTTTTACTTTCATAGGTCACTCACTTTTGACTGTTATTCCTGAGATATCCCTTCCTTGTAGGCTCTGGATTCCCCTGGTCTCCTGGTTTTCCTTCCTCCTCTCTGAACATGCCTCATCAGTATCCTTTGCTGGCTACTCCTCCTCCTCAATCCAGAAATTAACTAAGAGTGTTCTTTAGAGATTGATTCTGGGCCAACTTTTCTCTATCTACATTCTCTCCCTAGATGATCTCAGCCATTTTCATTGATTTAAATAGTATCTATATCCTGACAATTCCTAATTGATGTCCTTTGTCTAGACATCTTCTCTGAGCTCCAGACTCATATATCTGCCTGTCTACTTGAAATCTCCACTTAGATATCTCTGAGGATCTCAAACTAGATATGCCCCAAATAGAACACTTAATTTCTAGTGCTAAGCTCCTCTCCTCTTTTTTTGCCATAAATTCTAAGCCTGTCTTATTCATCTTGGTTAATTACATCATTGTCTACTATCTATTCCTTAAACTATCTGCAAAATATTTCAGATCTATTTTCAAAATGTTTTTTGAATCCATTCATCTCTCTCCATCTTCAGTGCAATAGCCTAGTCCTTCACCAGACATCTTTTCAAAGGTAAATCAGCTACCAGACATCTTAAAGACTCTCAAAAGCGTCTTATTGCAATTTGAATCAATTCTAAAAAACTTACTATGGCTTTTGGGGTCTGACATTAATTGGCATCAACCAGCTTTGTAATTTTGGGGGCTTTTTTGCCATTTCCCTCTCACTACCTACCCCCCAACCATATCAATATTCTTTCAGCCCCTGCAACAATCCAGTCTCTTTCCCTGGAGTTCACACATTCACCTTCTCCTTTCCTGGGGGCGTTCTCTGAGCTCTTTGGTATCTTTAGAACTAAGCTAGTTGGAGTGGCCTCTGATGACTACCACATCGAAGTCCAATTCCCCCTCCCCTTTATTCTCTAGCAGCAGCAGCCTGTTGAGACTTAGATTTGATGCCCTCCCTGAACTGTAAGTCCCTCGAAAGGGCTGTGTACCTGAGATGTTGTGGTGTCATCAGCACATGTCAGGGTAACTGGCATGGTGGAACTCAGCAGGGTTTGTTGAATAAATGCAGTATGTGTACCTGTATCAGTGGTTCTCAACACTGGTCATACATTAGAACTATCAAAAAGAACTTAAAATGTATCAGTATATCAGTATCAGTGCCCAGACCTCACCTCCAATGTAATCAGTCTTGTATGTGAAGAGAAAACTCTTCAGATGATTCTCATATACATTCTGGGAAGAGAACTGCTGCCCAAAACTAACTATGGGGGTCATTAAGATATTACTAAAATCCAAATTTGGGCAAAAATTTCTCAGATCTAATTTATAATTGACACGATGAGTAAGCACAAAATAGCCGACTTGCATGGGTTCTGTCAGAAAACTTACAGGAAGACCACTGAGGAATGAGCCTACCTGGAGACTTTGGCAAATGACAGGGAGATGCCATAACACGATAGTAGGCCCTAAGTATGAGCCACTTGTGGTGACTGAAACTATTGGTGACCTAAACCAAAGGGTTATTCCCTTTTCTTCTCAACCTGGTCTGGCACCACCACATCAGGAAGCCTAAGGAGATGCTCACAGTATTGTTATACTGGGCAATGTGGAATGTCCTAGGTGTCCAGGAAGGCCTCTTTTCCTTTCCCTTCTCCCCATCTTCATACCTCAGGATGCCAAGTCTAGCTTCTAGCAGGAAGGCAGATAGCTGGAGAATGGCCCTGGAATGATGTCAGCACAAAGAAAAGGGAAAACTGGAGGTGAGAGGAAGAGAAGGGTCTGAGAGGAAGGAGTTTTCTCTGTTGATTGAGGAAGTCCACCAGAGCAGAGAATTACAGGAGGAAAATCAGTGCATCAGAGCTGCCAAGGATCTCTAGTGGGATGTGATTCCCACTGGAATTCAAGGACACCCTATACAATTTCTAGCCTCTGAGTGTGTGATTCGCTGGTTCACACTGGGAGTGTGATAAGGGCTGTACAGCCCCTACCCTTTCACATGCAGTGTTTAGAGCTGAGATCTACATGAGCATTACAACTCTAGGCAAACATCTCCCAGACTCCACGGACTTCCATCCCTGTGTATATATATTTAGGAGACTGAGACAGTCTGTGACTTAAGAGTGACCTGTTACCCCCAACCCAGAAGTCACAAACCATCAGTTCCTCTGACTCTCAAACATGCAGTTTTTTTAATAAAAAATTATTGAAAATTTTAGAATTAAAAAATAATAATTTGGAGCTTTAAGCAATGGCTGATCTGGGAACGCTAGGCTTTTATCATAGGTGGTACAGATTTGGAGCTGGCTCATGCTATTGCTTTCTCTGCCCCTCTTCCTTCACTTGTTCACAAACCTTTGTTAAGCATCTACTTTTGCAAAAAAGATCAAAGATAAGTAAGATACAGCGTAAGCATAAAGTCTGTTTGTTCCCGCATATATCTGTGTACTCAGTTTTTCTTTACATTAGACTTGGCCAAAGCCTGAGAAAAGAAGCTGGAGTTGGATTAAAGTCTACATTTTCATGATTGTGGTATCTCCCTTGCCAGGTAAATATTTTTTTAAAAAATTCTACGTTCTCTGAATGATCTTGCTTTTCAAATACTACTAGTTTGCCTCTACATTTGAACCATCAAATAATTTGTCTTCCAAATGGACTGTTCTGAATTTCATTTAGAAGTTAAAGTGCTAGATGCCTATGCCAGGTAATAAGCGGTTACGTCCTGACTTCAAACAGTTCTTCTCTTCCCGTCTTTGTGCTGCTTGGTCAAGACTCTCAGACTGCAGTTCTGCCTTGCCAGCTACTTCCCACTAGGCTCTGCCAATAAAGAGCCCCCAAAAAGGGGGGCGACACTGGGCAGCTGAGAACATTCTTCCCCCTTCTGCTTTGCCACAGGAAGAGCATTTCTCCCACAGACACAGCTAGATTATTCCTAAGAGCTAGATTATTCCTAAGAGCTTTGCACACTTCCAGAACTGCCCCCTGGGGTCCCATAACAGTGCCCTCTCCTCAAGGGCCTGAGTCTCAGAGCCGGGTGGCTCCTGTAACCTCCAGTTCTGGTGACTCCAAGCTCTTCCTTTGGTTCTCTCAGACCTTGGCATGGTAGCTGTTCTCTCAAATTACCATGTTTGAGTTACCTCAGGGTCTCATTTTCATTCTTTTTCAGTCCTGCAACACCTGTATAATCAATTCCCCACAGCCCTACTTTTGAAACTTGAGCTTGCATCAGAATCACCTGGAGGCCTTGTTAAAACTGATTGCAGGGCCCCACTCCCAGAGCTTCTGATGCAGGAGGTCTGGGGTGGAGCCTGGGAATTTGTTCTTCTATCAAATTCCCTGGTGATGCAGATGCTGGGGACCTATTTTTCAGAGGGAACATTATATTCCCTCTGTTAAAATAGTGCGTATTTTGTTTTCCAGCTGACCCCTCATTGATTGAATGACCTTCATTAAAATAGCACACCACTCAGAGTCACCAGTGGGGACTGATATGTTGGGTGGGGAGAAGTAATCCCCAAAACCCATTTCTAACCTGGACTTTCCCATGAGATTGAATCACTATCTTGGCCTGTCTATCCTCATCCTGTGCCTATGCTCTTCCTCCTGTGCCCGGATAGCAAAGTGCTTGACCTTCTTTTTTTGATATTTCATCCCACCTGTCTCTGGCTCATGCCCACCCCCTCTATAGGCCTGCTTCTGTGGGGGAGGTAAGAGGGTCAAGGGGCCTAGGGACTGATGGCAATCAAACACAACTACAGAGAAGAGCAAAATAGCCTAAAGGGGCTTTTAAATACATTGTTTACTGCTGCAAGTTGTATTATCTCTCTCTCTCCATGAAATCATTAATAAAATTACTTGCTTTTTGGGAATATGACACTGCACGGAGTCTTTTTGCAAGTTTGGAGTGGGGTGAAATCAGAGACCTCTCCTCTTACAGAAGAATGACTACATATGAGTTAGTATATTTATTATTTTCTTATTTTTCTCTCTCTCCTTCTAAACTTATCCTAAGCACCATGTGGCACTGCCTGGATTTTAAATTATTTCCCATAAGCCCTGGTTACTGAGTAGGAATTATTTGTTAATGAACTAATTCTGGGCTTAGAATTTTCCTTGCCCAGAGACATCTATCACTAGACCACACAATGTACCTACAGACCTGAGTATGGCATCTCATAAGTGGGTGGGACACTGGCCTTTTACTCACTTGGGATGATTTTTATTTATTTTTCTGATTATGAATAAATTAATGCATATTATTGAACATTTAAAAATAATACAAAGTATGAGGAAAAAATGAAAATCATCTATAATTTCACTGTTTAAAGTTTAACCACTCCCAGCAGAATCCTCTTTCCATATATAATATATATATACTATGTCATATGCATGTATTTATTCATGCTTATAAAATCTCTTTTATGTTTTTTAACTTACAAGTTAATATAACTTAATACATTACGGTATTATGTATTAACTGAACATATTAATTGAATTCCCTATTGTTGGATATATTTTTTTCCACTTTTTGCTATCATATATAATGGCACAATGAACATCCATGTATCTACAATGTAACTTTCTATTTAGGTGGACCTGTCCCTTAATACATTAAAAAGCACATTTGTTATCATGGGTAGAATTTTGTACTTACCTGAAATGAAGCTCAAAAGATACAAACCTAGTGGACCTTGCAGAGTTTCAAAAGGTTTGCCAAAAGCGTTGTACATGAAGAAGGCTGTCCCCACCATGGTTAAAACAACAAGGATCACAGAGAAGAGTATGACATTGACGTGGATGCTTAGTGGGACGGCTTTGAGCAAATCTGGGAAAACTGAAGATGAAAGAACAATTAGAAGAAATCTTAATAATGGTAGCCTGCAAGCATAATTTTAAAAATTAAATCTTTTTTTGAACTTCAAAAATTACGAAACTCCTTTAGATAACTACATTCTCCCTAATTTATTATTGTGTTTGAAAAATGTAAATTTGTAAAATTGCATTTACAATGGGGTTGTTTCATAGAGGACACTAATAAAAACTAAAAGAGAGGATGGGGAGGAATTTTTCCCCGTCCTTGATCATATGTAATTTCTTAAATAAACAAGTGCTAGCTTTGTAATCAAAAAGCATACATTTTGGGGCCTCCCTGGTGGCGCAGGCGATTGACCGCCACACTGTGAAGCTGTCCGCAGCCACTGCAGTGCGGGTTTGATCCTGGCCGGCCGGCAAGAATCCCACATGGTGCAGCAGACCTCTCCTGTCTGCCTGCTGCTCCCCTCCACAGTGTATTTCGTCAGTCTGCCTCTTCTGTTCCCTGCTCTGTCTCTGGTAAATCCTCTCACCCTCTTGCGCATCTGGCCTGTACCCCGGTTCTTGTATAAAAATAAATACATCTTTAAAAAAAAAGCATACATTTTGATCACCAAAGGTTTAAGCACATTTCCCAGTGGTCATTTTTCTTGTTTTCCTTAAATGATCTTAACTTGCAAGTACATTTTTAGTTTGGGGATATCTAGGGGAGAGCAAACATCAGGAGGCTTTTATATTTTCTTTGCTGCAAAAAAATTATTTCTAACCCACACCAATATTAAAAAATGGGATATTTTCAACTTCAATATTTTGATGTAGCACAAGCTGTGGGAAAATAATTTCTGGTGATACAAGAAATATTTTCCATTTAGAAAACTCACCAGATCTATTTCTAGATTTTGTTTCAGGGCAAGTTTTCCTTGTTTGCAGAAGAAATGAAATACTTTATAAATGTAGGGTTTCTCGTATCTGGCGAGGCATCAGCAGCTGAGCATCAGCAAACCCAGCAAGACCAATGTGGAGAGGTTTAGTTCAGTCTATTTTAGTTTCCCAAACATTTATCAAGTGCTTAGTATCTTTACTGAGCACCTACTATGTACTAGGCATTGTTCTATGTTCTGGAAAAAAGAGGCCTAAGACAAGATAGACAAGAGCCCCATTGTGGAGCTTATAATTTAATGGGTGTCAATAGACAATGAGTAAACAAATACTTGTGATAGCTCATCTCCAAAGATAGCTACATCAATATTTTCCCTCCTTTTACACAAGTCACTTCCCTTTTAGGAGGTAGAATTTATTTCTCAGTCCCCTTGAAACTGGGCTAGCCTATGACTACTCTGACATCTGAATATAGCAGCAGCAGTTTACCATTTCAGACCTAAGTCCAGCCTACAAGAGGACCAGTTATTTCATTTTTCTCATTGAGGTTTTGTAACCAGTGGCTGAAGCCAAAAACCATTACAGGTGGTGTTCCCTGGAGGGGGTAGCAGATGTGGATAGACAGTCCCATGGAAAATGTGAACAAAGTATGGCATTTGGGGTGGGGACTCTGATAAGTAACATAAGGGACTGCAAGAAGCAGCCACCCGGGATTTCCATACTTGGGGTGAAGCTTTCAAGCTTGAGTGTTTGGGATTCAGCATTCGGGACTTCAGTGTTTTTGGAATCTTCAGCAATTCCACCCGTCTTTAGCTTCAGCTACCTGTTACAGTTTGTGCTACCATTGGAAATTCAGGCCACTCTGCTAGAGAGGGAGGCCACCCAGAGGAGTACCAGCAGTATGTGTCTTGGCTGTCGAGCCCAGAAAAGTCCAGATAACTATACCTCAGCTGCTATTTGAATGCAACTGTATTATGGACCCAATCGATAATTGTTCAGCTGAAATAATAAAATTTTGTTTTATGTTCCTGGGCTATGAGGATGCTATTTTGCAACAATAACAATAAATAATTTTTAGATAGTGATAAAGCTGTGGAGAAATAAAACAGGATAGTGGGATTTTGAGCAAGTGGGTGATTGTGTGGGGTTGGTCAGAAAAAAATGACACCCATAAGAAGGAGGTGCCCTGCAAAGTTCAGCTGGGAAAAGCATCCAGGTAAAAGGAACAAGCCAGTTGAGGCAGTAGCAAGCCAACAAGGTACAGCCTGGTGAGTTGAGGGGGCTATATACTGGGATCAGATCCTTGTACCCACTAAATCCTGATTCAATAACCATGGTAAGGAGTTTGGTTTTTAGTCTAAATGCATTGGTTTAAAGTAGACAAGTAGCACATCGTAATGATGTTAAAAGTGCTCTCTGCTGCTTGTGTTGACAACAATGGGGAGAGGGAGGAGGCAAATGAGAAGCAGGGAGGCCTAGCACAGCAATTTCCAGGGGCGAGGGATAGGGGTCTGGCCTAAGGTAGTAACAGCAGAGGTTGTAAGAGGTAGTAAGAGGTTGTCAAATTTGGAATACATCTTGGAGGTAGAAGACAATGACTTATTGAAAGGAAGGAACCAAATTCCTAGATTTTTTTTGGCCTGAGCAGTTGAATGAATGATGATGCTATTAACTGAGATAGAAAGTGAAAAGAACAGGATTGGGCATGGGGATGGGAAGTGCTATAAAAACTGTTTTAATTTTTTTTTCTTTTTTTTAAAAGATTTATTTATTTATGCATACAAGAACTGGAGTACAGGCAGAGGTGAGGGGGTGGGGTGAGAGGATTCACCTGAGACAGAGTGGGGAACAGTACAGGCAGTTTGACTGAAGTACACTGCTGAGGGGAGTAGCAGGCGAGACAGGAGAGGTCTGCTGTACCATGTGGGTTGCTCCCTAGGGGGTATAGAATTCGGGTGCTGCAGTGGCTGTGGAGGGCTCCATAGGTTGTGTCTTAACCCCTTGTGCCACCAGGGAGGCCCCAACAATTTAATTATTTCTCCTAGAAGACTGTAGTTTTACTTTTTAAGTTGAAGTAACAGGTTTATACATCATATAGGTTTCTGGTGTGCATCATACATCAACATTCATATAAACTCACCTCTAGAATTCCACTTTCAGAATTGGCCACTTTTACCCAATTTACACTCTGGCCTTCCCTCTTCCCTTCTGGTAACCACAAACTTGGTCTGATGATCTAAACATTTACTTTTGTCTTATTATTTCATTTGTTTTTTTTCTTTATGTTCCACATCAGTAAAATCATAGTGTTTATCTTTCTTTGGCTAATCTCACTAAGCATAATACCCTCTAGGTCCATCCATGCAGAATTTCATCTGTTTATAATTATAATTCCATGAATAACATTACAGTGTGTGTGTGTGTGTGTGTGCGTGCACGCTTGTGTGTATATATATCTTCTTTGTCCAATCTTTTATTCATGGGCACTTAGGTTTCCAATTTCTGGCTATGTAAATAATGCTGTGACGAAAATGGGGTTGCACATATCTCTTTGAATTAGTGGTGTCATATTTTTCAGGTAGCTACCCAGAAATAGGATAACTGAATCAGATGGAATTTCTATTTTTAATTTTTTCCAGTTTTCCATAGTGACTGCACTAATTTACATTTCCACTGGCGGTTTACAAAGGTTCCCTTTCCTTTTCAGCCTGTCCAGCACTTGATTTTTGTCTTTTTTATCATAGCCATTCTCACAGTTATGAGGTGATATCTAATTGTTTTGATTTGCATTTCTCTAATAATGAGATGATGAACATGTTTTCATGTGCCTATTGGCCATCAGCATGTCTTCTATGGAGAAATGTCTAGTCAGATCCTCTGATCATTTTTTAATTACATTGCTTTTTGTTGTTGAATTGTATGATTTTTTTTCACATTTTGGATATTAACCCCTTGTTAGATACATGCAACTATCTTCACCCAATCTCTAGAATGTCTTTTTGCTTTGATGATAGTTTCTTTCACTGTGCAGAAGATTTTAATATGATGTAGTCCCACTTTTTTGCCATTGGAGTGGAATCCCCAGAGACATCTCTTAGGTGTCAAGAGCATATTACCTATGTTGTCTTCTATGAATTTTTTGGTTTCAGGACTTACATGCAAGTTTTTAATCCATTTTGAATTGACTTTTTTGTATGGTATTAAGCAGTGGTCTAATTTCATGCTTTGCATGTGGTTGACCACTTTTACCAACACCATTTGTTGAAGAAACTTTTTGCTCCACTGTGTATTGTAAATGAGTTGCCCTTGTATGTGTGCATTGCAAGAGTTCTGTTTTAGATATGTTAAATTTGAGAAGTGTTTTAAGGCCTCTGAGTAGAAATTTCAAATAGGTTTTCTCTATCTGGAGGTCCAGGAAGAAGGTGGGTGTATTTAATAAGGCAGTACTAGGATGAGGCAAGCAAAGTACCTAGGGTGCAAAATCTAAAAAGACAGTCACTCTAGATTCCAGCCCTGCACTTATATAAGCCTGAAGGGGAATGTCTCCTTACATTCTATGACTTAATTGCCTCAGTGGCCTCAACCTAAACCTGGCCCTGATGTTTAAAGCCAGGGGAATGGCTATTACCCTTGGAGAATCATTATTAGAGGAGGGCTGAGAAAGAGCCATGGGGCCATAACCCCCCCCTAATGATGGGGAGGCCAAGGGAAAAGAATGTCCCAAGGAGTGGAAGTGGTCAGCCTACAAATGCTACACACATTTGTCCAAAAGCCTGTCTCATGGCCAAAACTGTGCAAATGTCCATGGCCACAGTGCTCTATGTCTGGCCACTTGTCAGAAAGTGACCAGAAGAGGGAGTTACATGGGTTCAAAACAAACTCTTCACTGCTGATCAATATAACTAACTACATGCATGGACACATATATAAGACATGCTTAGTACTATTAGCTAGGGATACCCTCCTCACGAGAACTGACAGATAATTTGCATCCTGAGGATAATATCATGTTAGCTAGTGCCTAGAGAAAAGGGGACCAGAGTGTAATGTGGCACGACCTCCCTTGAGGCAGCTGAATGTTCCCTATAAGCATTAAAATGTACATTCCCTTTAGTTCAGCCCTTGCTTCTAGGAGTTTATCTT